ACTTAATCCTTTATCCGGGACTGACCGCCCGGCAGATCCTCTCTTCACCATTCTCCCCGACTCTCTCCCACCTATTCTTACAACTTCTAGGGCAAGGGTGAGGACGATAGGCACCAAACGGGCGCAGGTACACAGCCTCCACAGACCACGCACAGCAGCCTGGCGAATGTCACCTGCCCTCTTGTGTCTCATGTGTGCAGTGGAGTTGATTTTGGGCGACCCTAGGCTGGCGCCAGCCGTCGCAGTGGATGAGGAACTGGGCAACGTTCGGTAGGCAAGTGTCCAGTGAGATCGCAACGATTCGGCAGCATTCGGATGCATCTGGGATTGGGTGTACTCAGCATTGTCAGGTCTTGCTGAGATTATGGCGTTCGGATTGTTGGTCGGCGCGGCTTTGGTGGCGGGAGGCATCCTCGCGGCCACGTTTGTGCCGGAGAAGACGTGGCTGAGGCTCAAGTAGAGGCTGGGCCTCTTGTGGCGGGGTAAGCGCTCACTCACGTTGGTCCAGTCAGGTCAAAGTCTGAGCTAGACGTTTTAGAGATCACCGAGACGCGCAAAGCCCTCCAACACAACATAAAGGTACTGATCAACGCATTCATGCCCGCACATATACTCACCTCACGCGAATGCGGATGTCTCTGTATGCGTACACAGGAGTTGAAGCAGAAGCTGGTGAGCCACGAGACGAGGGTCAAACAGTCGAAGAAGTGAGCCGCTCCCCTTACTGTTGCAACACGTGTGCACGTGTGTGTGGATGTGCGTGCCCAGGACCATAGCCGACAACAGCGCCAAGGCACAGATCGACCTCAATGCCAAGGACCTCAATGCATCTCCTGACACAAACAGACAGACAGACAGACGGACGCTTGTACACTTGTCGTGTGTGCGCTTGAGTGCGGACCACACAAATCACAAATCACATGTGTGTGTGACACAGGCATAGATTTGTTAGAGACCGAGATTGCCCAGCTAAACGAGCGCATCCAGAACGCCGAGGAGGAGCACGAGTCAGTGAACCAAAACACCAGCACACACACGGCGTTATGGTGTTCTGTATGTGTGTCTTCGTCCAGTGAAGCCATCTGGACGCTGAATCCCGTGTTCGCAACGGCACAGAGGCGCGTCACAGAGCTTCAGTACGCACTCACGACATTCCCACACATGCGACGCTTGTATCTCCTTTGTGACCAGCACGCAGAGGGCCTTGATGTGCCAGAAGGGCGACCGCCATCAAAAAGCACGACGAGGAAGTCGAAAGGCTGGAGGAATTGGTGACGACGAAAGCAACAGCATGGTATGCGATGTCTGTATCTTTGATCTTCAGGTCAAGAAATGTTCATGCCGGTGTTCACGGGATTGCCTCTTTCGCTGTGGCCATCAAGGTGCAAGACTTCAGCCACCAGGGACACATGGACAACCAGAACAAAAGGGAAATGGTGAGTGGTCGCACACGAGTGAGGCAAGGGCACACTGGTGCATGGGGGCAAAGGGTCCTTGCAAGCCAGGCAGCGCTGCGCTGCACAAGTGGGTATACTAATTCATGCACGCCTCTCTCTCTCTCTCTCTCTGTGTGTGTGTGTGTGTTGCAGGAGCTGGGAGACAAGTTTCACCATCCCAATGTCGTGGAGATGAAGGGGGCGTGGGTCGACGAGGCCAACAAGCGCTTCTACATGGTGTTTGAACTCGTTCGGGGCGGCAGCTTGTGGGAGCTCATGTGGAGAAAGGAGAGGGTCCGTGACGAACACGACCACTACGTCATGGTAGGAGGGAGGATTCGGGCGGCCCGTACACTGAAAGGATCAACAATTTGAAGCTGCTCCGGAGACACAAGGTCTGGGCTGGTATCTATCTCATGTTTATGCTGTTGTGCTGCAGGCCGGCCGCATCATTTTGGGGGTCGCCGTTTGGGTGGTTGCGGGACTCCTGGCTGTCCTTCCTGGCGGAGGGGGGAAGAGCGTGGAAGTCGCCTGGGAGTTTGTCAGACTCGCAGCCGGTATCATCTGCCCTCTCAGCCAGGTCGGTGTGCCCCACGTGACGACCAGGTACACTCACCTCACTCCCTCACTATAGTGTTTAAGTGTTTAAGTGTCCCCTTCAGTTTCCACATATTGCCGTGCGGACTCTCCCAAATGCTGACCGCCTCGATGAGGAACAGATCGCACTGCTGTACAGGTGAGCCACAAACACGGGAGGAGACATGTGTGTCACGTGTGTGTGTCTCCACACGCCCATCCAGCATTCTGTGTGTGTGTGCAGCATGTGGAAGTTCAACCCCTACGACCGCATCACTGCTGCGACCGCCCTCAACCACCCGTACTTCGACAACTTCAACAAAGCTGTAAGACACGCAGAGACACAGACCGACAGACAGACAGACAGACGGGCGTCACTGATACGTTGCTGCATTTGTATACCACACAGGAGTTTCTCCATTGGAATCACGAGGCGGGCGACAGCTACCCGCCACCGGCCCCCTCCCGCTGCACCGGCTGCTGCTGCGGTTGCTGCTGCGGCTGCTGGGGCGATACACAGACAGAGACGAGACACATGGCTGTCTACATTTTATATCTGTGTATCTGCCATCCACACAATCGTGATTGCTCAGAACCCCATCAACACGACGTGACGCAGGTGCGAATGCACTGTTCTTCTCTCTTACTGTGCAGTATGATCGTTACAGCCGCCGCAAGTTCGGCCCCCGCCGCGTGAAGCGATTCATGTTCCGGGTACACACAGACACAGACACCATACACAGACACGCAGGGCAAGGCTAAGGTGTGTCTGGTGTGTGATGCAGGCATTGCAGGCGCTGGCCCATGTGCATAGCAAAGGTGTCGCCCACCGGGATGTGAAACCCAACAACATGCTGCTGCAGGGGCGCAATGGCCGGTAACACACACACAAAGACACGGCAGACAGGGGGAGGGAAGCCCCGACACACAAATACGGCTTTTCTCTTTGTATGTTTCTTCCTCTAGGGAGACGTTGAAGCTGTGCGATTTCGGTCCCCCCGAGAGCACCGTCGCGATGCGTGCATGTCCCTGCCATCCACAATATCAATCCACCGACCTACGTGTGCCACGGCACGAGGGGCTACGAGAGCCCAGAGTTTCTGCTCGGCATGAAGCACCACGGACTAGAGGCCGACATTGTCTCCCTGGGTACGTCGACTTTTTGTCACAACATCTGCCAATGTGTGTGCCATACGTGAATTGGTGCCTGTGTGCTGCAGGCATCGTCATGTACGAGATGATCAAGGGTGCTGGCGGGCCAGCCTTTGGCAGCTGGGCTTCGGGAGGGCGCTGATCCCCGTGATGGCGGCATGGGATACGGCAAGGGCCTCCTGGTGAGGAGCACCATCGACAACAAAGCCCACAAGCTCTATGTTATCACCGCCGCACACGTCGCCATCGGCGCGACGAAGGTTAAGACCTACCTCCACGATGGCGTGCAGGACGAGATCCTCTTCGAGACGGTGAGCATCCAAGGCCTGCCCAAGCCGGAGGAGATGGGAGGGGCGATGGGCCACTTGATAAGCCGCATTCAGAGCGACGGCCGCCGCAGCCATCGTCTTCCCACGGGAGAGTGGAACTATTCGACAGGTCCAAAGAGGCGATCAAGCAGAGGCTGATCGCCCCGCTGCTACACAGGCTGCACTCGTGCAGAGTCAAGGAGGAAGAGCAAACAGAGAACGACAAGAGATTGTTATTCATCGTTGCCTACATTCTATATCGGTTGGTCGTTTTCTCTTCGTAATCCGAAGCGGTGACGGATAGATTCCCTGCCGTGTGCGTGACGAGACGGATGCCTCATGTGTGACGAGACACGTACAGTACACGGATGGTCGCAAGAAACGGACTCGTGTCTCACTACTCAGCTAAATTTGTAAGATGAGTGGCGAGAGAGAGGTGTGTTTGTCGGTAGCTGGACCGATGTGAGAGCAATACGACAACTGGGTGGCTGATTTGATTGGTCGGACGACATATCAGTCAATCGATCGACTCTGTGAAGCAGACTATGTACACACACACACACACATACTACTAGCACACACATGCATCTGCATCCGTGTGTTTATCCGCCTATCTGTCTAGCCAACCACACACACACACCCCGACAGCCACCCTTCCTACCGCTGCACCGACTGCGGCACTTTCCGTCTCAGGTAGGGGGACTGTGATGCGTGCAACAGTGCCAGGAGGTAGTCCATCCGCGCCCGCGGGTCACTCCACAACGGATCCAGCTCAAACAGAGACACGGATATCACTCGCCACCCCAGGCCCTCCAGCACCCACCGCTTGAACAGTGTCGTGGGCGTCGGATGCCGCCACCTACACATATATCCACGAGGTGGCTGGCGGTGGATGTCTGTCTGTCTGTCTGTCTTGTGTGTGTACCTCATTTTGTGTGGTGCAGAGGGCGTCCTGAGTGATATCAGCTCGTTGTCCCTGCTAGCACCATCCCCTTGCTGCTGCTGCTGCTGCTGGCAGTGTGCCGTCGACTGTCTGGTGGGTCCACCGTCACTCAACACGCTGTTGTCGGCATCGTCAGGCAAGTCGAGTCGGTAGAGGAAGTGCGACGGCCCGTCCAGCTCAATGGCGATTGTCTCACCACCACCATCAGCACCACCACCACCAGACACCGTGTTGTCGCGTATCTCAATGTCCACACTGATGCCCTCCTCGGTCACCCCCTCATTGATGTGCGGCACACCCAAACCCGTCAGAAAACGAGACATGTGACGGTGGAAGTTGGACATCTCCGGCACTGCACGCCGCCTGTGGCTCTCCCAGGGCCGCTTGGCCGCATCCCGACGTAATGCGAGACTCTCGATGCCTCGGGGGAAGGCTTCAGTGGGCTGTGCCGCCCGGCCGCTGCTGTAGGCCGCCTTGCAATCCTCCAGTGACTGGCCGTGCAGACGCATCGACTCATCCAGGCCCTCCACCACACACGCCAGGTGCACTTGGTAGATCTGCACCCACACACACATGCACACCACACACACACACACACACACGTGTCATGGTGTGCAAAGGCTTGTGTGTGGGTCGGGAAGGGTGAGAGAGCAGACAGACTGACCATACATACCATGCTTCGTTCCTTGTCGGTGATGTGTTCCCTGGACTGAGTCGACCAGTCACGCCCCATTCCCGCACGCACGACATCAGGGAATGCCGGCAGCTGCCGCGCCATCGCCAGGCACCACAGAAATGCCGCCACGTGGTGCTTGCTCGGCGCCATACCCACACCCACACACTCCCCCCTCTCTGTGTTGACGCCCTCATTGCCATCCCTGAGACCCAGCCGCTCCACAGCGGTCTGCAGAATGGCCTCCCCGCAGTCAATGCCGCTCTTGACGAAATGCCAAATGAGCGACAGCAGGTTGTCTGTCGGAAACCGGCCGCTCACGACATGGGGCGTCAGCCACTCGCGGATGTGGTTGAGTAGGGGCGCGTGACAGAGACCGGCCTCGGTGAATGCCGAGGCTAGGACGCTCCAGACGATATACGAGTCATCCACTGCGTTGCTGGTGTGGGTCAGGAGAGCTCGTGTGGACAGCAGGTGGTCAGCGACGGCGCGGAAGAGGGGCGGGTGGAGCCATCCCGCCTTGCTGAAGCCCCACATCAGATGCGCCGCGTCGATCGGCGCACACTTGGACACCACTGGGAGCGACGCCGTGGCCAGCCTCTCATACACCTCCCTCCCATGCACACCGCCACTCGTCATCGCATAGGCAAGGTTCGCGAGGTCGCGAGGGCCGAACTCGTGCAGCCGCGCCATAGACACTGACGTCATCTCCCGGTAGAACGCCCGAATGGCCTCGTTTGGCTCATGCACACTCACCCCTGCCCGAGCCATACCCCAGGCCAGCAGACACAGCGCCCTCACATCCACATCGCCATGCAGCCGGGGAGTGACCGATCTCGCGATGGCCGCACACACCGAGGCGAGCTGCGTGGGCGACGCGATGCTCGTGCTGTGTGCCGCCCACGACCAAAGGATGCCTGCCAGCTGTGCGGGGCCGTAGTGGTGCGCCATTGCAGGCAGGGACGCCGTGACGCGCCGCAGCAATGACTGGGCGGGCTGCAGGGTGACGTTGGAGCGCCACTTGCCGAGCGCCCAGAGGACGTGTGAGAGCTCGTCGGGCGAGAACTCATCCAGCCGGTCGGAAGTCATGGATGCACACGCCATGAGCAGGGCGTCGTCGCGCCAGCCGAGCCGCGTCATGGCCACCATCACTGTGGATATGTCGATGGGCTTCCACCGCAGCTGTGACGATCCCCTCTCCGGCTGCTGCTGTTGCTGCTGCATCATCTTGCTGATCTCGCCAAACAGCTCCGGATGGACCACGTTGACGCGGCTGAATGTGGCCGCCAACATGGCGATGTCTTGCGCAGTGGCCGACGCGAAAACCCCCGACCTCAGCAGCAACGTACCCGACTGCGTGAAGACGTCACTCGCGTCATCGAGTGGACTCGTCCCCATTGGTGCAGTGGCCCTTCCAGCACCAACAGGAGGGTCCTCAGTTATCAGGGAGAGAGGCGAGTCCAGCAGATCGCTCCCTGGCGAAGCACCGGCCGCTTGCCCATGCGGCCGTGCGAGCGTCCACAGAATGAGGGCCAGGTCACGGGGCGACTCGATGTCAGCGGAGCGCTCCCTTATCACACTTGGGAGGAAGCCCATGTACTCGGGCAGGGCAGCGGCGTACTGGGAGACGGCCTGGGAGATGGTCGCCAGGTTGCGGGGCGTGAAGGCTGCTGGCCGCTGGAGGATCTGGCTGGTCACGGCCTGGGCCAGTGGAAGGGACAGGATGCCCAACTGATAGAAAGGAGATTTCAAGTATGCCCTGTCCGTGTGCTTCGATCTGATCTCCTCGCTGACTTTGTGGAAGTTCCAGGCGATGTCGACAAGATGCTTCGGGGATGCCGTGTCGAACATCCTCTCGCCGACCAACACCTGGCAACACAACACACGCATCAAGGAGAGAGGAGACACAACGCGCGGTCATGTGCAGTCGCTTCCTCACCTCGCCCAGGCACTTGAGCACCCCGTCAATGAGCAGGCCGCCGTTAGCCGCGGCCACCGCAAGCATCGCCATATCCTCCACACCCACACCAGCACTCAGCACCTTCCCCCGCACTGCACCCCAATCACGCGGGCCGAAAGCACTCACGTCGACGATACTCGGCAGCACTCCCCTGTGTGTCGGTGGGACCACTTGGTTAGTCAGCCGCTGCAGCAGGTCGGTGAACCGTGGGTCGCTTTGGATGGCTGACTTGGCGCGCGACTGTATGCCGATGAAGATGGCCTCCTTGAGGGTGGCGGTGTCTTGCTCGTCTGCCGTGCTTTCCTGGTGCGTGGGTCTGCTGGCCCTCTTTGCGGCGGGGTATGTGGCCCAGTAGGCCAGGCGGCTCACGGCCGCTATCGCAGAGCGCTGATTGCATGAAACACACGGCAAATGGAATGGCACACATGAGTGAGTGAGCTGCTGGCCTGCCTTTGTGCCTGCTGTGCTTACCGGGTCGGTGTCGTCTCCCCACGTGTCAGTCAGGTCCAGCAGCGCCTCGGGCGACTCGCTGATCCGCACCAAACGGCGGCGCGAGTTCGCCTCCCCACCAGAGCCCTCAGACCTCTCCTGGCGGGACGATGCAGCCCCCTCCTCTCCCCTTGATGGCTCGCACCCTGCAGGGCCGACCAGCGCCATATCGACAGCAAATCCCCATGGGTCCACAAACTCGTTGACCACACGCACACCGCTGACCCGCTCCACCGCACGCATCACCTCCAAATGCATCGTCGACGAAGACATATTGGGGCCCAGTCCCTCCTGCATCAGCGGCCTGCACGCCGACAGCCAGGGAGGGGGCGAGAGTTGAGGGGGGAAAGGTGGCTGCGGGTGCACCAGCCGTGCGTAGGCGTAGCTGAGGTATACGCGTCTTGGGTCGATGGCCTCGCGGCTCTCGTCGATCGGCGTGATGTCGTCCTTTTCTGGCCTGGGGGTCCAGTCCCGCTCGAACGTCCGCCTGAAGAGATCGTAGGAGTATTGGTGGGAGGCGGCAAAGCTCCACACGATGATGCTCAGCTCACGGTTGTAGAGCTTCGTGTGTTTTGGCTGGTCGAGCAGAGAGAGGGTATAGGACGCCAGAGAGCAGAAGAATGCCGGGGCCTTGACAGATGGGGACGGTGTGCGTGCGATGGACGCCGCAAACTGGGCGAGGTCGCTCATGTCTGTCGCATCCCACTCATGGCGATCCAGCAGCGAAGTCGCACTCCTCACAGCTCGGTGCAGAAGAGCATCGGGGTAGCAGTCCGCCACAGAGAGGCCCCTCACAAGACACGACAATCCTCCGGGGGATAGATCGTCGATACGGTGATGGGTCATATGTTCCGCAATGGCGCTGAATACACCAGGGGAGCCACAGCCGACCTCGGCAAGCGCCCACGTGATTGTAGCCAGCTCCTCAGGCCGGTACTCGCTCAGGCAGGCGCCAAGACTAGCAATTGCGCCATCAATGAAGCCTTCGTGTCTGTGCTTGGACCGGCCGGCCGCCCACATCAGCTGCGCAACGTGAGAGGGCCCCAGGGTGCCTCGTTCAAGAGCCTTGGCTGCCTTATGAAACACCTCCCGCCACAGATCATGGCCGCAGAGAGCGATGAAGTCCGCCGATGACAGGTTGAGCTTCGCGAGGCCCCACGCAACGGAGCTGACAGACCGCCCATCGCCTACAGCAACTGTTGCCGGCTCATCTGCCGCCCCATTCAGCTGCGGCATGTGTGGACCACCAGCACCATCACCGTTGCTCGTCAGGTGAGCCGTCAGGTCGGCCACGAGGGCGCGGAGGCGCATATCGCCGAGCAGATCCCTCTTGCGGAAGTCCTTCTCAGCGGCCGACAGCGTCGCCAGCCTCGTGAGTGTCACCATGAGACGAAGGGGGTCCACGGACGACCGGTTGCGATAGTAAGTGGCCAGCAGCTGGTTGGTCGTCTGGGTTCGCTGCAGCCTGCGCTTGAGGGTGCGCAGGACCGACGCAGAGGGGTCTGCTGGCGCTCGCTGGGCGAGGGGAGCTGTGGCCGTGCGAGCAACGCGAGATGCATTCATGGAAGCTGCGAATCTCGGCCTCTGCTGCCTTGCTCGCTTCTTGTAGAGCCTGTCAAAGGCGTGTAGAGCAAAAACTGGGATCTCTTGCGAATATTAGCTCGCGGGGCTGCGAGCTTAGCCGACAAGTGGGGAAAGAGGAGGACAGATCTGCACCTGTGAGCTGCTCCGTCGGTGCGCTTAACACTTCTGAGGTGAGATCAATCATTTTGCAAGCAGCTGAGCTCTGGAGATCTTTGTGCAACTGTGATGCAAGTGTGATGTGATACGGCAGCGACCGAGTGCTTTCGGAAGGCAGCAGGCGGCGGCCACGGATTATCACCACCACCACCAGCACCAGCAGCAGCGGCAGCAGCAGCAGAGGCAGGCCACGTGATACCGTGTGCTCAGCTGTGGTGTCCCAGCCAGCATGATAGAGGTCTGTTACGCCTTCGTCTATCATACCTGCTGGGTGTGTGTCTGCCTTTTCGGGGGCTTGATTGGGCGGTTCCACACCCTGCCGCTGGTGCTGGTGGAGGTGCTGCTGACGGCGAAGCAGCTCACCCCTGAGAATGAGAAGGGTCCCAGATTCCGCAACCTGTGTGTGGGATCAACTCTTATATGGTCCTGTGGGGTAAGCATGACAGAAAGACTGCGGAAGGAGGGATGGATGGATGGATGGGCGTTCTGTCTGTGTGTGTGTCTATAAGGTGACTGTGCCGCTGTTCCTGGAGACTCTGTTCTTCTACAACCCCTTCTACGACACACGTCGGTTCGTCGGCCGCGTGGGAGGGCAGTTCAAGGACATGATCTACACCTCCCTCGCCACGGCCATGTGGACCCTCCTCGTCTGCATCGCTCTGTACTTCACCATGCCACTGCCTAACGCAGCCGTCCAGTTCCTCGACCACATGCTGCCCTTCGCACGCCCGGGCGGCCCAAGATCATCCTTCAGCTCACCGGAGGACCCTTGGTCGTCCCTGGTCTTCTCCATCATCTACCATGTGTGGGAGATCCACCTGTTGCTGTCGCCCTTCTTCTTCGCGCGCACCCTGTCATATGTGGAGCATTATGAGATGGTCATGACACGGAGGCCGCGCGCGCAGTGGAGGAGAAACGACCAGCGACAGTCGAGGCCGACCGAGAGGTCTCCCCTGGTCGATCCGGAAACGGGCGACAGCGAGTTTGAGAGCGAGAGCGAGCGGAGCGACAAGAGGAGCATCGGCCGATCGTCGCGATACTACTCGGCCACGAACGGGTACGAGAGCGATGGCCGGACGCCGCGCGCTATCCAGTGCATCAGGAACGGCCGGGAGCCCACACTGCGGCCGTGGCTGCCGACGCCCACAACCATCCTGCGGATGGTGGGTGTGGGTGTGCGGCTGTACTTTTTTCTGAGTCGATTCTGGAATGACATTCCGAGGGGGGATTATCTGTACCGTGATATGATGTCGCCCTCGTGGGCTCTCGACCACAAGAAAACGTGGAAAGGCTGGTGGCAGTGGTGAGTTTTGGATATGCGGGGGGGAGACGAAGAGAGAGGGAGAGAGTGGTGGTTGGGCGTCTGTCCGAGTGAGTGTCTGGTGAGAGTCTGGTGAATTGCTGGACAGATGTGTGTATGCGTCATGCATTCAGCTGTGTCGTGATGTGATGTGGCACTTGCCGTCATTTGCGTGAGTTGCCGAAAAAGGAGAAGGAAATCGTGAAATGGACGCACTAAAATGTGTGTAAATGAGGTGTTTCCACCTGCATTCTCGCCCCATTCTCCTGTTCCGAATCCTCGCCGCCTTGTTCTTCTTGCGGTGCATCCTATTTCTTTTCCCCAGGTCACCCGTCCTTAGCTTTGCTGGTCATAAAAACTGTTGTTAGGGCTGCAAAATGGACTGTATTCAAGGGCGCGTGTACCGGGCCGTCGCTTCACACGCTCACGCACTGTACACTCAGATCACAAAACTGTGCACTGCACGCCCCAGGCAAAATAGAGGGGAGGCGGGGCAGACACGACAGACAGACAAGACAGCAAGTGACTGCAGTGCAGGTAGGGGCGGGTTATATGCACGCTCAAGCGACTGACTACTACTGCCGTATATTTCGTCGGTCAGACACACCTACATGGTGCCAGGCGGCTGGCAAAGGTAAACATTACATTGCCCTCACTTATCATTCATTCCCTTCTACGCGCAGCGCACATGTCAGTCACGCGACGCCCATCCGACCCGACGCATCGCATGCATCGCATGTCTCTGCTGTCTGTCTGGGTGGGTGAGTGACCAGACAGGGCGGCAGGCACACGAGCGGCTTAGAGCAAGCAGAACAAAGCAAATGTATGGTGCAACTCCCTCCGACAAAACAGACAGACCGCTGACAAAGTACCGAAACGAAACGGAAAAAGGGCACTCACTCGCTGCTCTGACTTCTCCCTCCCTCCCTCCCTCCCTCCCTCCCCCACCACAGACAGACAAAACTGGCCCCCGTCTCGTTTCGCGTGTGTGGAGTGTTTGTTGGGCAGGGCGCTAAAGGTGCCCCCTTAGACTCTAGAGCTGTCGCTTGGCCTCTCCGAAGATGAGGGTGGAGAGGTACCGCCGCACCACAGCCACACCCAAAGGCAGCGCGATTGACGGGTGCAGGAAATACGTCTGATCAGTGAGGAGTGACACACAAAACAAACGACACACCAACACAACATACATGGGGACATGGGGCACGTGTCTGTCGTGTGCGAATGTGTTATTGGGTTGGCGTGCAGGGCCCTGCCTTGCCTTGGGTTTCATGCACGTCATGAGCTCCGCCCAGAGAGCAAGCATCTTGTCGCCCTGACGCTGCACACATGCACACACAGCACAGACAGCACACACATCACATGCGGATAGATAGGGTTTCGTGCTCCATCCATAACTCACTAACCTGCATTTCAGCTGCCGTAGCGTCGATGAGCATGGGGCACTTCCACAGCAGCCACGAACCCATCACCGACTGAGTGAGCACAGGCAGGCAGGCAGGCATGCATGCAGAAAGGCATTCATGTGTGATGATGTGCACTGCAGCGCAGCAGAGGGGTGTCTGTCTTTCGGGCGTGTGTGGTGTGCAACCGATGACATACGATGGGGAAGTCGTGGCCAAACTCCTTCAGCCAGCGGTCCTCATACACCTGAACAATCCAATCCACCAACCACAACACAGCAACAACACACACATGCACATCACATGTGGATGGATGTTTTCATGACATGAGTCAGGTACGCAAGGTACCGTACGTACCTTGCAGGATTCCTCCGAGTAGTCGCCTTCCCTGCTCATTTCGATGATGGTCAGGGCCGCCTGTTTGCCGCCAATCATGGCCGTGTGAATGCCCTCACCTGCACACAGAGACACAGCACACACAGACACACACACACACATGGTGATCTATCTAATCTCCTTGTGTGTATGAATGAGCTCTTGCGACGTCGGTGAGTAAGCCAAGCCTTACTTACCGGTGAGTGGGTCGCATTGTCCGGCCGCATCACCCACGATCAGCAGCTGAGGGCCGTAACTCTTGGACACCCCTTGACGCGCAAGGCGAAGCTGGGGATGACAAACGAACGACACACAGACACGTGCCTGTCTGTCTGTCTGTCTGTCTGTCCATGCGTCTGTTTCCATGGCTTGTGTTGTGTGTTCACCGCTGCTGCCTTCATGGGTTCGATTTTGGCTTGTTTGCCGATGGCAGCACTGACGAATGGGTCCTCCTTGATGGCGTAGTTGTGCAGCCTGGGCAAATCCTTCTCACTAACGTCGCCACACATGCCCTGGCACCCACCCCCCCCCCACACACACACATCGTGTCTATCGGTGTTCGTTCGCCCAGCGTATGTGTGATGGTGTGGTGTGGCAATGTAATTAATGTGCCTCTCTCTGTACGTACCTCTTTGCCGCACGGAATGAGGTAGTAGCAGAAGTTGAGCTCATCGTTGGGGTGCCGGAAGATGGCGCAATAACCCGGCAGCGCCCCCTTCAAGTAGAAACACACACCTGACGCGACGCACCAACACAGCACAGCACAGCACAGCACAGCGCAGCAGCGCACACACACGTACGGTACACACACGTCTGTCAGTCGCTTGTCTGCCTGACTGCCTGACTGGAGGACACACCGTCGAAGTTGGTGTTGTGTTTGCCGCTAATGAAGGCACGGCTCGATATCCCCTTGGGCGCCTCACTGCAGTCATCGCAACACAACACAACACAACACAACACAATGACGGGCAGTGCAGTGTGTTTGGTGAGGTTAGATGTCCCTCACTCAACTCCACTTACGTGCAGTATCCGAGTTTGGTGGCGAGCCTGGAAGGTGCACCGTCGGCGCACACCAGCAGACGGGCCTTGTAGCTCGCACCTGCACTCATGCCATGCCATCCTCGTGTGTGTGTCAGCCAGTGTGGCCCTGCTGTGCTGTGCTGTGCTGTGCCTGCCTGCTTCCGTCTTGACGGTCCAGATCCCCCGGCTGTCATCGAACTCGGCGCCAATCACGTCTTGCTCCTCCAGCAGACTCGCACCTGCACACACATAGATAGAGGAACAGGAAAGCCTCATTATATTGTGCTCTTCCCACGCAGCGCAGCTGTTGGGCTGTCTGTGTGCTGTGCGCACCAGCGTCCCTTGCGGCGAATGCCATCCTCATGTCGAGATGCAGCCGCTTCACCGCACACGCGGCAGCGTTGCCCAGCTTCTCAACCGACGCACCTGATCAGCCCAGCCAGCCCCATCAAAGCAAGCACCAAATAAATGATCTGCCTAGGCTGCCTATGCCTATCCATCCATCCATCCACTCACTCACTCGTTGACCCACCGATGTATGAGAGTCCGGCCGGGCTGACAAGCCCACCCGCATCGGCAAACTTCACCTCGTTGTTCTCCTTCAGGGTCTGTGTTAACAGACAGATGCACACACACGCATGCGCCAGCCCACGTGTGCAGATGGCCCCGCCTCGTGTGGTGTCAGCGGTTGTCTGTCTGCTGCTTGCCTTCATGACGCCCATCTCCTCGAGTATGTTGATGGCGGGCGTGCACACACCATCGCCGCAGTACTTGTCGCGCGGGAAGGTCTTCCGCTCCAACAGCAGCGTCTTGACGCCGCCCTACACACACACACACACACACAACCACGCACACACAGGGAGAGATAAGATCCGCTCGCACATTGGTGTGTCGATAGCGGCTTACCTTGACAGAGAAGTATGCACACGACGACCCGGCAGGCCCAGCACCCACGATGCACACTGCAACCGAACCACGACCGACGTGACGCACACAATGCACACACAGATCTTTGCGCCTTCCTTCCACACCTACCTTCATAGGTGTCATCGTCCGGCGCCTGGCCCTTGAACGGACCTCCCGCCCTCACACGCCCTATGGGCTGCCTCAGCGGCCTCTCCAGCCACCATTTCACCAGCAGCAGAAGCAGCACCAGGGAGCCAAACACAGCGCCCCCGATGAGCAGCAGCAGCTGCCCTGCCAAAACCACAAATGACAGCATCCAGACGGACGGCAGGTGAGAAGGGAGACCAACCGACAAGGGCGGACTGGCTGAGGTTGTGGTTTAGAGCGCATGCATTTCGTAAAAGAGGCTGTCTGATGTCACCAAAGGAGGATTTCCTGTTTGTTCCCTCGGCCTATTCTCTAGAGAATACACAGGCAATTCTGCAGCAAGTCAAGCGGCTAGGCATTGACTGCATCCACAGCCATAGCCATAGACTTCCTTCCAAGTAGTGCGCCTCTCTCTGCGAGCGTCCTGTCTGTCTGTCTGTGTCTGATGAGACGCAAGCGGGCGCTGTGGTGACACCAGCCATTGCGAGAGAGATCCCATCAGCCGCTCCCCACATCATCCCAGCAAGACTGACGACGAACGAGCCACACCCTCCCCCTCCCCCTCTGCCCCCCTCCCCCACAGAGCAAGTGAGCTGAGCGCAGCAACCACACGCACACACACACCGACGCATCGCATTCGAACACGCATATCAGCTGCTGCTGCATCTCTCTGTGCGTGGCTGTGCTGTGTGCAGATGTTGCTCGACGAGGTGTTCGCGCCTCCCCCTTACCGTGTGGCGTACGACCAGCGGATGGGGGACCTTCCCTGGTTCCTGGGCCACCCCTGGGAGCCCACCGACTACGCCATCGTGCGCGTCTGGCAGGAGTACGACAAGCGCACCGGCGAGGGGCGGTACGAGGCCATCCGCGTCCTGCAGGCGGCGCAGCGCAACAAGGGTCACGTCTACCTCCACTACGACCACAAGGAGAAGAAGCACGTGGCCGTCAAGATGGTGCCCAAGTCATTCGTGCAGCAGGCCCAGGCCAAGCGCGACACGGAGCAGCCTCTGGGCGACACGGGCTGCCTCCGGTACCTGACCATTCTGAACGGGCCGGCGACCAACATCGCCACGTGGATCGACTGTGGGCAGGACGCGCACAACATGTACTTTGTCAGCGAGTTTGCCGCCGGCGGGGACATGTTTGAGTTCCTCACCGCCAAGCCGATGGTGCCGGAGGAGAGCCTCAAGCGCCTCATCTACCAGATCCTCGACGGTGTGCGGTTCATGCACGCCCACCGCATCGTCCACCTGGACCTGTCGGTGGAGAACGTGCTGATGCGCTACGACTGCCCCGCCAACCAGAACTGCGCCATCCTGATCGACTTCGGCATGGCGCAGCGGCTGAGGCCCAACCCTAGTGCTCGGCCGGGTGAGTCGCCCTACCTGCCCATCCCTGACAAGAGGGGCAAGAACAAGTACCAGGACCCCGTTATGTGGACCAAGAAGCCCTACGACGGCCCCAAGGTACGCGACGCGCGGCGGGTGCACACGGAGAGAGAGCGAGAGGGTGAGGCATGTGTGCGTGTGTGTGTGTGTCCATCCATCTATCCATCCATCAGGCCGACATCTTTTCGGTGGGTATGATATTTTTCCACCTCCTGACGGTGCCGCTCAGGGGGCAATACATGATCGAGCACACCAACATGTACGACAAAATCAACGTCGCCATCAAGTTCACGTACGTAGGCCACCCACACCGCACCCACACGCCCCTGATTGATACCCATTCCATTAACTATAGTATGTGTCCGTCCGCCTCTCGCTCTCTCTCTCTCTCTCTCTCTCTGCAGATACCTGATGACGTATGGGATCGAGAAGTTCTTCCGGCAGGTCGGTAGCGAGTTCGCGACGGCCGTCAAGGAGAGGATGTCGCCGGCCGGCATCGACCTGCTCAAGCACCTCATCAAACTCAACCCGCAGGACCGGCCCACCGCCGAACAGGCACTCACCCACTCCTGGTTCAACTCAGTGAGGTGAGCGAGTAAGCAACACACACACGCACACACACACGCCTGCACCACACATGGACCACACACACACCCGATGCATCATCATATCTCTCTCTTTTTGTGTTTCTCGTGTGTGCTGTGTGTGTTCTTCAGAGCGGCGCTCGCCCCTCCCCGCCCACCGCCGTCACTCGTGCTGTCCCCGGCTGCTTCTGCTGCTGCGACCGCATCCACAGAGGCGCAGGCCCACCCCCACAAAGAGCAGCAGAGCCTCCCATCGTCCCGGCGTGACTCGATCGAGCAGGAGAGGCAGGGCAGCGAGGCCATGCGACGCGCCCACACCCACAAGAACATCCAGCTGCCCAAGCATCAGGCGCCCCACCACCACCCACAGCAGGCTGGCGAAGGCGAGAAGAGCCCGCGTGACGTGCCGTCGACCATCTGGCCGCCCCTGTCGCCGAGGGAGAGGGACCTCTCCCCCCGGTCGCCGCCCAGCACCATCTGGCCCCCCCTCTCACCCCGCACAATGGAGGCGCAGAAGATGGCCGCTGCGGCTCATCATTCCCACGCCCCCGCCCACCACCCTCAGCCCCCATCATTCCACATGTCACCCGCACCCCCAGCAGCAGCAGCATCCACAACACAGGCGCCATCCTCGTCGAGCCACCGGTCGTCAGGTGGCGGCGGTGCGGTACCGATGCAGGTGTCGCCCCAGCAGGTCCCGACCAGCACCATGGGTCCGTGTGTGTCCCCCGAGGACGTGAGGATGGTTTGCTCAGAGGACAGCAGCTCCCCGGGCGTGTCCGGCGAGTCGGCCGGGGCACCAATGGATGGCCCACACCCGAGCAGCCATGGACCGATGAACGGCATGCCGAGCTCGGGCGGCAGCAAGGGTACGGGGGGCAGTGGGAGCGGGTCGTCTGCGTGCAGCATGGCCGCGACGCTGCCGCCACAGGTGAAGAAGCGGTCCCGTGTTGGCACGGGGACGCCACGGACGGGGGGCTCGGCGGGGGGCTGACAGAGAGAGACACGGATCTTTGCATATCAAGGTAAAGACAAAGGACCGATTGACGCCCTCAATCAATCAAGGGATGGGGTGGATGCATTCCATTGGCTGTGTGTCTCTGTGTGTGTTCGGTCCGGGTGTGTCGTGTCAGGTCAGGTCGGTTGCTGGCGGGGCGGGTGATGTGATGTGACCTATCTATCCATATATGCTATCTATGACTGGCTGACAAACGTTTATGTATGGATCAGATCAGTGTGAGAGGCGGAGGGGAGGGGAGGGCACGGCACTATAGGGTAGGGAGTGGCAGCAATGCGCTGTGGTTTATGGGGACAGTTTTGACGCTGCCCCCGACAAGACGCACTCGCGTCTGACTGTCGGGGGGCGGTCGTCTTTTGACGCTTCCAGCTGCGGTGCAGTGCTTTGTGCATCGCACAGGGAGGGAGTGGGGTGGGATATTGTGAGTGTGGGTGTGTACATCGCAGCAAGCGAGCTAGAGGGGGCGGCAAGGCAGAGAGAGAGAGCGCGGCGGTCTGGTGTCATTGCGTTCGTTACGAAGAGCCATATAGAGAGGGGTTCGTTTCGTGTTGTTAACAGCATTGTGGCAAGCCACAGAGAGTGAGTGAGTGAGTGAGGGAGGGAGGGAAGGATCGCTCACGTGTGTGTGTGTGGCTGTGTGCGCGTATGGATTGTATATTTTTCCATACCAGCCCGTGTTGTGTTTGTTATCCGGATCGGATTGCTGGGATATATGGGTGGGTGGATGGACCGATTTGCTCAACTCAACCCACTGACTGACTGACTGACTCACTGACTCACTGACTCAGTTACTACTTGCTCTCCTTGCAAGCTCACTCACCTACTTGCTGCGCTATGTGGTGTGGTGTGGTGTGTTATGGTGGGGTATGGCGTGTGCGTGTACACTACCAGCCGGCTGGCTGTCCCGGCCCGCTGCTGACACAGTTTTTTCTGTTAGTTACCCCCACACCACACCACACCAAGACAAACAGATATACACACACACAGTCTTGGTGACTTTTCATCCATCCATCCAGTACACAAGGACCGGTCGGTCGACGCTTCCCTCCCTCCCTGCCAGCTTGATTCGCCCCGTTATATTCTCATGATGTGCCAGAAAGGCTCCATGGCTGCGTGTGAAGCGTGGATTCTCATACTCCCCGCGCATCTTTGCGCGTGATGCCGACTCATGCGTCGTTGGCACGGGTGCACGGGGGGTGTCGAGAGCTACACTGAACACGCAGACACAGAGAGCCTGCGAAGGGAGAGAGAGAGAGAGAGCAGAGAGAGAGGAGATGACGCCTAGTGCTCTTCTTTTTCAACAAGTGCGCTGCCTAAGCCCAGACAGACAGACCGGCTTGATCGATCTTTCTCAAAGTGCTAGCTGCTACCTGCCTGCCGTCCTGCAATGCGATCTGATGTGATGGACTTCCCTTCCCCCTCGTGTTTGTGCGGATGTGTGAATCAATGACATACGTGGGTGGGATGTGTGCGATGCGAGTCACTCGTGGATGGACGATGGATGCCACCAGCCTATCTCTCTCTCCGTCTGTCTCTGCTGTCTGTGAGGGGAGTGCGTGTGTGTTTGAACCCTAACTTAACTAATGAATGCATGTGCGTGTAAGCCAAGCCCGTGCAGATTGATTACCGACACATCCGGCCATGCCATGCCCATCCATTCACACCAGCACAGCTAGGCAGGATGATGGACACACCCACCCCGGTCCGCTTCCACATCAATCAGTCAACCGTCCGTGCACATCACATCATGCACACAAGTTACTTACTGTACACACCATGCACCCCTGCGCAATCGTGCAGGTAACCAAAACTCACTTGGTCTGGCGGCTCACCAGCTGAGCTGTGGCTGATTTGTAAGCACCCGATCCCCATCATCAACAAAGCCCGGCATCTTCGCTGAGATGCCGGGCTCTGCCAGGTGACGGGAGTCTGGTGCATGCCAATCAACCACAAACGAACGCACAGCCGCACACCGCACAACACAACCACATCAGCCCTCCACCAAGCACCTCCCTTCCTCCCTCCCTCCCCCCTGTGTCCCTCCCTCCGAGATCACATCCTCAGTCAGTCAGTCCTGGATTTCGATGCGTGGGCTCCTGAGTGCGGAGAGCGGCCCCCTGTAGGGATTGGTCTTGCAGTCATAGCCCTCCACCTTGAGCCGCGGGATCTTCACCTGCCCCTTCTCCCACACCATAGTGCCCTTCCGGATGGCTCGCTTCCACCGCTTCGTCAGCGGCAGTGAGTCGTACCACTGATTCAAGATGGTCTTGGAGTTGTTGCGCGTGAAGTGACGCACCTGCTGCCTCACGGACAGGGGGAGGACGCGGGATGGCGCGAGGGCTGCTGCTGAGGGCGCTGAGAAGGCTGCCGCTGCAGAGATACAACACCGGGAGCTTCGCAGGGCCTGCATCTCTCATGTTGGTTGGTTGGTTAGTGTGTTTAACGAGACTCGTGTCTGTAACCCCGGAGGGATCCTGTTGTCTCACGCACTAAACTAGCAGCATGTACATGCAAAGCATGCACACGGCCTGTCTACCCCTCCCTGCACTGGCACCGGCGGACAAACAGATGGCAACAGAGAGCACTGGCTGCCTTGTAGAACGTTGAGAAACACCGATTCCGGCTTCGTACACAAGAACGGGCGCTGTCGCCCGGCAAGAGCCATGGCAAGTGTACAGAAGCCAGAAGGGGGAAGTAGAAAAATGAGCGCCCTCTGAGCCACCAAAGCAACAATCAGCCAATCACATGAATACACCACCATATACACACGGGACCCATAAGGAAGGAAGACAGGAAGACAGCAGAGGGAGAGAGAAGGGAATAGCCAGGCAGGCCATGAGGCCCTGCAACATGTGATAGACGATACCTAAGGTGCACTCCATCCCTTCACACGCACTGAGTGGCTTGCGCTCAATCCATTCTTGCCTGTGGATGCGCACCAGAAACTACTCCGCGCTTAGAGAGCTACAAAGCTCGCATGCAGTCTCGCGGTGAGGGGAGGAGAGGCAGGGCACCGTATGCATCGATTGCTGCATCCTTGGTGGTATTAGTCTTACTTCTTCCGCCACTTGGCCGCAAGGGTCGTTGCCGCAGCCAGTTCCTGCTGCTGTAGGCATTCCTGCCATATTGCTCGCTGCCTGACCTGATGCTGACGAAGCTTCTGAGGCGTGTGAGTGGCAGAGCAGACGATAGTTGCTGACATAGAAGCGTCTCGAGATGGCTAGCGCTGCCGCGGCGGGGGCACCACCTGCCCACGACATCATCGACAGGTCCGTCCACACGACACGACACTGACAGACACATTGAATGCCGGTCACACCACCGAACAGCTTAGCTTCCATGCATTGAATGCCCACCACCGCACTCCCTCTATCTCTGTGTGTGGTGTGGTGTGGTGTATTGTTGTTCATTCATTCAGATGGCAGGTGGACATCCCGACCGTCGAGCCGATAGCGATGACGGAGGAGGACATGCAGGACACCAACAAGTTCCTCGGCGACCTGTTCGCCAAGGAGGAGCACCGAAACAAGGGAGTCTTGCTGGTACGCCTTCACGCAGCCATCCATCCATCCATCCACCGATCCATCCACCGATCCATGCACGACACACAGACACAGAAACGGTCCATTCGCACATTCCCTCCCCTCTGTGTGTGTGTGTGTGTGTGTGTGTGTGGCTGCATATTTGCAATCCATCCGCCCGTCCGTCGATCCATGCAGCTGGTGCCTCCCCCCGGTTGGGTGCCGCGTGAGGCGGGGTACGAGGACCTCGAGAAGTTGACGGATGTGGAGGGGGTCCTATCGCAGCGGGTCACCCGCACCCACCAGTCGGTGTCCAGCGGCCAACTGCCGCACCCCTACATCTTTGAAGTCGAAATCGACACCATGAACAAGAGCAAAGACCAGTGAGTCTGTCGGGGCGAGGGAGGGAGAGGGAGGGAGAAGCGGCGGACAGAGGTACATATTGTGTGTGTGTGTGTGTGCGTGTGTGTGTGGTAGGTATCATGGTGACGACTACCGGCTGGAGGCGAGAGAGGTGGCCCTGCCCTTCGACACCGCTGACATCGACTTGGGCAAGGACGAGGGCATCCTGCAGTTCGAGAAGCGCATCTGGGATATGGTACGCCAACACACGCACCAACACCCCCCACGCATGAACCCATTCCGCCTGTGTGTGGTGTGGTGTGGTGTGTCGTTGGCTGTCAGTGGTCGAAGGAGGAAGGGCAGAAGCGGCCCGAGGAGAGGGCGGCGCGGCTGTACGCGGCCAACATCGTGACGAGCTTCTTTGACGGGCCCGACAGGTGCAAGTCCTTCAACCTCAACCACCTCAAAGGGGACGCCCTGAGGGAGATGCCGCGTATGGAAGGCATCAACACACCGGTATCCAATAAATGCATTAGACACACACACCTAGACAAAAACGATACACACATGCATCGCATGCCATCCATAGACTTTGCCTTGATGATGTGTCTGTATGTCTGTGGTGTGTGTGTGTCAGTACGGCTACTTTGGGTCCATCGGAACGGTCTTCGGCAACCACAGAGAGGTAGGTGACCAGGGCACTCGACACACACACACCAATTGGCACACACACACACAGTGGATGCATGGATGGATGGATGGATGGCCTCCGTATCTGCGCGCTATGTGGTGTGGTGTGGTGTGTGGTGTGGTGTGTGGTGTGGTCAGGACCGTGATTTGGCGTCGATGAACTACAACCATGGGGGCGACGTCAAGTCAGCAGCCACACCACACACACACACACCCTCCCCACCCTGGCCCCTGAAGGCCGTGTGTGTGCACCATCCATCCATCCATGTGTGTGTGTGTGTGTGTGTGTGTGTCGTTTGTCTGTCAGGGTGTGGTACGTGGTGCCTGCCAAGCACAAGAAGAGGCTGGACCGGCTGATCAACGAGGAGATGAAGAGGATGCACGAGAGGTGTCCCGAGTACATGCGCCACAAGCGGCTGCTCATCCACCCCGAGTGGCTCAAGGCCAACGGCATCACCGTACACCGGTACGTAGGTCAGTCAGGCAACGGGGGATGGACGCATCGGTGGTGTTGTGCACACGTGTGGGTGTGTGGTGTGGTGGTTGTAACCAGCGTCATCCAACGTGCCCGTAGCTTCGTCGTGACCCTGCCTGCGGTGGGTGGGTGACAAGGGCGTGACAAACACGACAGACACACGACTCACATCAACTGCTCCGTCTGTGTCTGTCTGTCTGTCTGTGTGTGTCTGTGTCTGTGTGCATATTGCGTGTGTGTGTGTGTCAGGCGTACCATTTCGGCTTCAACACCGGCGAGAACATCAACGAAGCCGTCAACTTCATCCCATACCACGTACCCACACACAGCACACACACACAGGGGTGGATGGAATGGATGGATGCTTGTGTGCGTGTGTGCAGTACGAGGCCGTCAAGCTGTGGCTGGGCTACGCGCTGACGGCGGGCTTCTGCCAGTGCACAGCCAAGCAGGGCACCTGCAAGTGAGCCAACGATGCGTCCATCCATCCATCCATATGTATGTGTGTGTGTGTGTGTGCAGATTCCACGGTTGTGCTGTGGTTTGGCGGCTGGAGTTCCCCGGCATCGGCAAGGGGCGCCAGCTGTACAACCGTACGCAACGCCTCTCTGTCCTGTCCTGTCTGTCCACCTGTGTGTGTGTGTAAACTTGCCATGGTTGGTGGGTTGATTGGTCTCACTCATGTATGTCAGGGATGGTGAGTGAGTTGCTGGCGTCCAAGGTGATCCCCGGCCCCGCCAGCCGGTATGCGCTGCGGGACAAGTACCACAAGGACAGCAAGAAGGTCCTGGGCACGAGATTGAAGATCAAATGCACATCTTGCCGAGAGTGGTCAGTCAGTCAGTCAACACACACGCACCGCACGCACCTGTGTGGCTTCGTTTCGTTGGTGATCCCTCCCTCCCTCCCTCCTCCCTTGTGTGTCCTTGTCGAATGTCGATCAGGATCGTCAACGGCATGTCCCTCAACGAGTTCGATGACAACTACGGGGGCGAGAAGGAAGTAAACAACCAACCAACCACAGAACACCACTCAACCACACCACACGCCACACAAGCGCATCCATTTCCCCGTCTCTCTCTCTCTGTGTCCGTCGGTTCCCTCAGTATTTCTGCAGCGACCATTGCCGCGAGGCTGCTTCCCCTGCTGCCGCTGCCGCTGCCGCTGCCGCTGCCGCTGCCGCTGCCGCCGCCGCTGGTGGTGGTGGTGGTGGCGACGGCAAACGGGCCCGCCGGCACGTCGACTACACGCGTGAGATCCACCACGGCCAGGGCGCCGACTCGGGTGGCGACGGCAGCAGTGGCAGTGAGAGCGATGAGGAGAGTGACAGTGACAGCGGCGAGAGCGGTGACGATGCTGACGGGAGCGAGGACTATCAGGTTGGTGACAGGGAGGGAGGGAGGAAGGGAGAGGGGGTGGTGGGTCGGTTGCTCATCTGTCTGTCTGTCTGTCTGTGTCTGTCAGGAGATGCAGTCTCGTTGGCCCAAGCCCCGGCATCGCAGCAATGGCCAGCTGGTGGAGGGCCCCCCACCACCCGCCAATGGCAACGGCAAGCGGCCCTCCCGCAGCCAGAGGAGGTCCGACGCCCTCAAGCTCATCAGCACCCTTGTGCGCCTCATGCTCAATCGCCTCCGTCGCACCAACCTCGATCCCTCCCGCCCCTCACAGCCCGCCCTCCCCATCAAGTGGAAAGCTCAGATACTCTCTGGCAAGTTCTACGTCACGGGTGGGGCACCCAACACCACCAACAACACACCCACAGCAGCAGCAGCAGCGGGTGGTGGTGGTGGTGGTGGTTGTGAGGAGGCCGAGGACAAGGGCGGGAGGTGGAGCGGTGTGTCGGTGTCGTGTGAGGATGACGTACTTCCCGCCCTGCATGCGGCCATCGAGCGGTGGAACGCCATGGCGGCTGCTGCTGGGGGTCAGGGGGTGCTGAGTGAGCCGGATTGGGATGCAGAAGAGACCGAGGACGACATACCCATGCCACACAACAAAGGTCAGTCGAGTCGGTCGATGGGCGGGCGGGGGGCCGGGGGGGGATCGCCAGAAGTCCTTCTTGACATCATCTCTAGTGCCCGTCTATGTGTGTGGTGTGTGTGGGTGCAGGTGACCACGAGGAGTTGACGGCGAGCGAGGCGGCGGCCACTGCCCGTGTGCTGATGGAGCGGGCCAAGCTGCGGGCCGAGCAGGCCACTGGCGACCCCTCCCCCATGCTGGGCGTCATTGTCGAGACCTCCCAGCGTCTCCTCTTCCGCTACCGCTCTGGCGACTACCAGCCATCCCTCCGGCCCGACTCACTCACCACGGCCGCCATCCGGCAGGCACTGCATGACGCGATCAGCAAGGCCAGCACCAAGACGGCAAAGGGGAGGCCGAAAGGTGGTGTGGGCGGCTCGCGTGGCGCCGGGCCATTGAAGAAGGAGAGAGACAGGGGCGGCAAGCGGCGGGCTGACAAAGGGAGGGGAGGGGGGGCCAGCGACTCCTCATCTGCATCGCTCAGAGGTGGGTGGGTGAGGGGGAGGTAGGTGTTGGGGGCGACGCGACTGACTGTGGGATTGTCGTGTGTGTTAACGTACGTGTGTGTGTGTCAGGTGGGGGTAAGAAGGTCGTTCGTCGCAGGGCCCACCCAGTGCCCCCCACTGTAGCCGTAGCCAACGATCGCAAACCTTCAGGTGAGCACAGCACAGCACAGCACAGCACGATTGACACAGGGACAGACAGACACCTGTGTGTTTCATTTGCGTGTCAGTTGCCGGCATGCCAGCCCATGAGGCCAACACTTACGCCTTCTACCAGCTCCACCAGCTCCAGAACGCCTATTTTCTATTGCTCGCATCCCACCACCCCTCCAGCGACGTGGTGTCATCCCTGTCGTCCTTCGGCCTGTCATGGGACTGCCGCGGCGCCTTCATCCTGTTCCTGCAGCACCCAACCGACCTCACCGCCCCACCACACCACCGCGAATTCGTCGTCGAGAGCCTCACGCCCCGGGAGATCGACCGATCCCTCTCCCAGGCCGTCAGACACCGAGACCGCATCGCCACAGAGTGGGGCCTACCACAATGCGTTCGCCCTGTCCTTGGGGAGCCGGTCGATCTTTTTGCCCACGGAGGGAGGCGCGGGGAGTCACCACCAGCAGCAGCGGCAGCTGCTGTCGCAGCCGCAGCACCTGCTGCTGCTGCTGCTGCTGCTGCTGCGTCAAGTACTGGTGATGGTGGCCATGGCCCGAGAGTGCCGAGAGAGGGCCGTTTGCTGCGGGCGCTGCGTCGGTTGTCGAGGAAGGAGCAAGGTGGCGGCGATGGGGAGGTCGAGATGGACGTTGACCACAGGGCGCGCAAGAGGGGTCGAGAGCCATCGTCAGGTGCGTGTTACGCAACCCACACATACACCCGCATGCGCACCACACCTGTGTGTGCTGATTTTGTGGGCGTGATGTGATGTGATGTGCAGGCTCGTTTGGTGGTGAGTCGGTGGGCGCCAAGGACGCCCTCGACGTCTACGCCAAGCAGAGGCTGGCGCAGCTGCGCCGCCTCAACGGCGCCAAGGGCATCTACATCGTGTGGCATCAGTTCACGTGGATGATCCGAGTCGGCGGCCGGTCAGGTCGATCAGCCAGTTACGACACCATCAGCCCGTCAAGCCGCACCCAAGAGGCCGTCGACAAGGCTCTCGAGGAGGCGATCGAGACTCGCAACCGGCTGGCCGAGACGGCTGGCCTTCCGCCCATCAGGTCGCTGCATTCGCGGCATCGTGGTGGCGATGAGGGCGAAGGAGACGAGCAGCTGCAGGGGGGCGCGTCTGAGGACGAGGAGGAAGTAGAGATCGGCACGGCGCATGGTGCGAGTGAGGTAGACAAGAAGGCATTTGAGGCCTACGGCGTGGAGCGGCAGGGCCAGCTGCGTCGCCTCAATGGCTCCAGAGGCACCCACATCATGTGGCACCGCAACGGCTGGGTCATTCAGATCCGCCTCGACAACCAGCAGAGGTCATTCAGAATCAGAGTGCGAGGCCGCTCCCGGGAGGCCATCGACAAGGCCTTGAAGGAAACAGTCGAGAAGCGCAATCGGCTGGCCAAGACGGTTGGCCTTCCCCCTCTCCGCTATCCCCCCCGCCACGGCGGTGACGACGAGGGCGAGGGCGAGGGCGTGGGAGATGGCAATGATGGCGATGAGATGGACATGGCCGAGCATGACGACGAGGAGGGAGAGGGAGAGGAGCACGACCAAAGGGCGCGTAAGAGGCGGAAACGGAGAGGAGGATCTCCAGGTACACACACACACACACACACACACACCCACGTGAGTGCATGTCTGTCCGAGTATGTGTTGTATTGTGCTGTGCTGCTTCTGTGCCTGCTATGGTCTCCAGGTTCGTCTCGTCTTGCTGCGGCCAGGAGGGGTGGCCTTCTCAACGGCTACGCCGAGGACCGGATGACCGAGTTGCGTCACCTCAACCGCCACACGAGCACCTACATCAGCTGGCACCACGACGGCAGATGGCAAGTCTGTGTCCGCCACGACGGCAAGGCGCACTACGCCACCTCCCGCCCCCAGGCCCGCACCCGAGAGGGCATCGACGAGGCCCTGCAGGAGGCAGTCGAGAAGCGCAACAAACTGCTCGAGACCATGGGCTACCCATCCATCCAGTCGCTGCCGCCTCGGCGTCACCGGAGTGACGACAGAGGGCCCGATGGAGGGGGGGATGGCGATGGTGAGGGTAGCGAGATGGAGGGCAGCAGCGTCGCGCCTGAGGACGAGCAAGAGGAGGAAGATGAGGACGAGGAACAAGACAGTGAGTGAGCCACACGCAAAGGGGGGGAGGTGCATTCATGGAGGGAGGGAGGGCTGGATGGATGGGCGGGTGTGTGGTGTTCGTTCAGATGCGGTTGATGGTGGTGCGTCGGTGGACATCAAGTCCCTCGACCGCTACGCCAAGCATCGGCTGGCGGATCTGCGTCGCCTCAACGACACCGAGAACGTCAATCTCAGGTGGCACAAGTTCGCCTGGTCGATCCAGTTCCGCCACAAGGGAGGCCGGGTGTGGCGCACCATCACACCACTGCCCCGCACACGCGAGGCCATCGACAAGGCCCTCGAGGAGGCTATGGCCATCCGCAACCAAGTAGCCAGGGATCTGGGCCGTCCCGCCATCCAGTCGCTGCCGCCGGGCTGCCCGGCTGGCACCGGTGGCGTCGCTGAGGGGTCAGGCGAGATGGCGCGCGTCAAGGAGGAGGAAGAGGAAGACGACGAGCACGACCATGCAGACGGTGAGTGAGCCACAGAGACACAAAGGGGGAGAGATCCATGGGTGCACTGCACTGCACTGCACTGCACGACACAAAACACAAACAACAGTGGAGGGATGGGATGGGATGGCTGTGCGCACATCAATCACATTTGGTGGTTCAATGCATCATTGCAGAGCAATACCACCGCAAGCCGCAGAAACGGGCGAGAGGGAGGACAGAGGCCTCTGCAGGTGGGTGCCACAGGACACACACCCACACCACACTCCCGCCGAGTCAGTCACATACGTGTCGTTTTGTTTGCTGCTGTTCAGGCTCGTCCGCTGCTGCTGCTGTTGCTGCTGCTGAGGTGGACAGGGACGCCCTCGACCGCTACGCCAGGCAGCGGCTGGCCGAGCTGCGTCGACTCAACAGCTCCGAGAGGATCAACGTCATCTGGTACGACTCCGCGTGGGTGATCCGCTTCCGCCAAGGCAGTGGACACCGTTCCTCCCGCACCATCAACCCCCAAAAACGCACCCGAGAGGGCATCGACAAGGCCCTCGAGAAGGCCGTCGAGACTCGCAATCGGCTGGCCAAGACGATCGGTAATCCCCCCATCCGGTCGCTCTGGTCGGACCAGAACCACCCCGCTGGCGCCGACAAGGCCGACGAGGGTGTGGGAGATGGTCAGGGTGACTACGAGGTCGTCATTGAGGGTAGCGACGGCGAGCCTGACGATGGGGGAGACGACGAGGATGAGGATGGAGAAGGGGAACACGATAACCAAGGTCATGGAGGGAGGGAGTGAGGGAGGGAGGGAGGTATGGATGTGCTTCGGTAATGCATGTAATGTGTGTCACCTCACCGATTGCTGCAGATGGGGCTTCGTCCACTTCAGGTGCTGCAGGTGATGATGCCGTACTGAGCAGCCAGGAGGTGGCGGCTTATGCCAGCGAGCAGCTCGCCCTGGTGGCGGCCGCCAACGGCACCGACGGTCCCGACGTCATGGTCGCCCTCCGCGACGGCCATTTCGCCGCGGGCCCGTTCCCTGCTCTGCCCATACCCATCAAACCCACCCGCAAAGGCGTCCGCCTGGCGCTGCAGAAAGCTGTGGAGGTCAGGAACAAGACTGTCAGGGACCGGCCGCCCCTGCAGCTGCCTCAACACCTCGCCGATTCTCGCACCAGCCACGCTGCGCCACCACCACCACAAGGAGCAGCGGCATCTGCATCAGCAGCGGCTTGTGACGACATCAATGAGGCGGACGGGATTCTGCGGTCAGACGAGGGGGGCGGTGGGGAGCGGGGCCCCGGCCGCATTCGTGGGGATGGATCGTCGCACAGGCAGCGAGGAGGCCCCTGCTCTCCCGCTGACCAGGTGAGTGAGAGGGGATGGGACGATTGATGACAGACCGACACAGACACGGCCACTCACTCATCCCGTTGTTTGTTCTCCGTGTGTCGCTGGATGGCTGGTGGGGGTGCATCGCATTCAGTGTGTTGTTGCCGAGGAGTCCCAGTCCCCCGTGCTGCCCCCACGCCCTCCGTCCGCAACTCGCCCACTCACGCCACAGCTCCCAGCGCTTGATGCCGGTGAGACCATGCAGCCACTCGACATGGACGAGGCCAAGCAGAAGGACCAGAAAGACGACGAGGAGAACAAGCGCCAAGCCGTGCAAGAGGACAAGGCGGCAGCCCTTACCACTTCGCCAAGCGACCAGGTGGGCAGAGCACTACCGCGCAAATGGACAGACAGACAGACAGACAGGCAGACAGGCAGGCAGCAAGCTGGGGTCGATCGCCATGCATGTGTGGGGCGCCCTGCCTTCTGCCTTGTTCGTTCGTCAGGTCGTGGGTGCACATGAGGAACCTGGTGAAAGCGGCGGTGCAGCAGCAGCTGCTGCTGGTGCGAGTGGTGCTGACGGTTCATCTGACGACGTGGCGATGGGCTTTGCGTGTGACAACGAGTTTGTGGTGCTTGGGGCACCAGTAGTGCCCCCTCAGGAGGTGGGCGGCGGTGGAGAGGAAGATGTGGGCGGCGATAAGGAGAAGGAGATACCCTCAAGCAATGATCAAAACATGGTAGGGACAGACAGACAGACGGAGGGAAACCACAACAAGGCCGGCCATAATGCGGCCGTATGTGATTGATGTGCATTAGCTTGGGTGTGTTCTGGTGTGCGTCGGTCAGGCTGAGTGTAGCGAGTTGGTTGGTCGTGAGGGTGGCGCAGGGGCGTGTGGAGCAGATAACAGCCGCCAGACGGGTGGTGCGTGTGGTGCGGCCGCTGCGGCCGCTGCCGCTGCTGTTGTTGACGAATCGCTGGACAAGGTAAATGAACGAATCAATGAACGTCATGATGGAACGAACGAGAGACCACACAGAACAGACAGCACAAAGCACCCACCTCTCACCCCACATAATCCCGTATGTGTGTGTGTTGATCCATCTGTCTGTCTATCTGTGCAGTTTGTTGATGATAGCCCAGATCGCAGCGCCGACGCCCCCGGCCGCTCCCTGAACCTCCTGAGTCTTCCAAGAAGACTGCAGAACCAGATGGTCATCAGCCATCTGTTCGCGACGAGGCCTGAGCAGATCAGGGCGAATCTCGGGGACACTGCGAGAGCCAAGCGCGAGGGCAAGCCCCAGGCGCCCGCTGACGGCCATTCCCCCTCTGACAAGCCGTCGGACGACCACCCAGCAGCAGCCCCAGCACCCCCCGCACCCATCCCCCCATTGCTCTCTCCGCTACTTCCCCATGACAACCATGAGGATGACCATGACCAACACATGAGCGAGAACGACTCTCAGCACACCAAGAATGGCGACAGCGGCCCAGGACCAGCAGCGGCAGCGGCAGCAGCAGCAGCGGCGGCCTGTGCGGGTGGTGGATCGAACTCAGAGCAGCCAGACGCTGATGGTGGTGGTGGGGATGGAGGGGATGAAGAGCCTCTAGGAGAGCGGCAGGGGCCTTTGCGGAGGAACGACAAGGACGCCGAGAACAATATGGAGGCTCTGAATGGCCTGGGGGCCGGAGAGGTGAACACCACACTCACTGACTTACACTCCTCTTCATTTGAAATGTGTGTGTGTGTGTGTGTGTGTTTGCAGGCCATGGGCAGTGACCCGTCGGCCAGCTCTCCCGTCATCCCCCCTGAAGGGCTCAACGATAAGGTGACGACACCCACCCCACGTCACAAGAGCAGCAACAACGTAGCGTCTATGCACCGGCGGATGTCTGTCTTGCCTCCCTGTTCTTCAGATGGTGGTCGAGAGCAAGCACAAGAGGTCCCTCCGCCCCCGTGGTGCCCGTCGTGATAGCGAAGCGTCCATCTCAGCCGAGCCCCCGCAGCACCACCACAATGCTCCCCCCCGCCGTCCCAAGAGAGACCGCTCGAGAGCCCCCCAGCCGTCTGCCGAACAACCGCCCAGCAAGCTCCTCAAGGCCGACCAGGCCGAGGAGAATGGGGTCGATGATGGTGATGGTGATGGTGACGGTGGTGCGGTGGCAGCGGGGGAGAGCAGCAAGGAGGGTGACAGCGCTCTGGTCAACAGGGTCAACAGCAAAAAGGTGGCCGCCAAGGCAGCTCTGCGCGACTACTCGTTCAGTGAGCCTCTGCGGCGGTCTTTGCGTGGCAAGGTGGAGATTGAGGACGTGAGCTTGGTCGAGGACAACCACGGCGGCAAGAAGGCCAGCAAGGGTCAGAGCAGCAAGGCCGGTGGGGGGCAGGAAGGGGCTTGAAGTAAGAGGAAACATACAATACACACAGGGGCACCAGAGGGGGGGGAGTAGTCGTATTCCTAAAGGGATGAGTGATTGGTTGAGGCTGCTGGTTGGTTGGGGGATGATTGATACCAACAGGGGTGTTTGTGTGTGCGTGTCAGTGGATTCTGCATGGCACTTGCGTGTCCGTGTGTGGGTGTGGGTCTGGGTGGGATCCTACTCACCCACCCTATGTCTTTTTTGATGGACACACACGCACCATGTATATGCTACGCACACACTGTGAAGACCTGGCTGACTGCATGGTGGGTGTGGTCTGGTGTGGTGTGTACTCTGTGTGTGTCGATTGATTGGGTGATATGATAGCTGGCTGATTGACATGGCAAGAGACAAACAGAAAGACATCGCTGAACAGTCTGAGACTACTTAGCACGAGGAAACGGGCGGACGCTGCCGCAGCCCAAACAGACAGACAGACAGACAGACATTCACGATATGCAGTCACCCACGTTCTCAACATTTGCGCCACAGAGGCAGCAGAGGCCGCGTGCCGTCATAATTAATGGGAGCGGACGCCAGGATGAAATAATGGTATAGAAATTCTAAGCTAGGAGTGAGATGAGCAGCGATGACAATTGTCCCCCATCTGGCCATGCTCCTGGCTGTCGCCATGACTCTGTACCCCTTAGAAACGACCGCAGCCACACCAGCAGCACCAACACCAGCAGCACCAGCAAACGCCAAGAGGTCTCTCATTCGGGAGGAAAACGAAGACGCGAGGAAATCCCGGGCCTCACCCTCACCGAGCCCCTTTCGCTACATCAATCCACGGCCCGAAGCCTCACTCGTCTCGCCATACACCACCGTGTCCCTTCGTGTGGGCGGCATCGGTGACTCGGCCACCTTGTCGCTCGCCAACGTGGAGAGGGGCGCTTCGGATGGGCCCGGCATGACAGTACACGGTCAGCCAGCGACTATCTACACCGATCTTTGTGTGCAGCACTCCAGCGCTGTGCCTATTCTTTTCGCCTGTTTGCAGGTTCTGAGAGTGGTGGGTGTGATGGCTCTGTGAAGCTGGTTGAGGGGGGCAGCATGGTCATCTTCGAGCCCTCGTCGCCTTTCGCAGCGGGCGAGACCGTCACGGTCCACGTCAAGCCTGGGCTGCGCGTCAAAGAGGCGAACGAAGCTGTCACCGTGCTGGAGGGATACACTTGGAGGTTCACCGTGTCGCCGAAGGAGTCTGGTGACAAGCTGCGCAGACTGACGGAGCAGCCACAGCCAACATATCAGCAGCACCAGCAGCAGGCATCATCGGCAGAGAAGGCCGCGGCCACGCAGAGCTTCATCTCCCCTCCCAGCTCGTTTATCACGCTTCCCTCTGACTTCCCTCTGGTCAACGTCACGGTGCCAGCCAAGAGGGGGGCGACAGCAGAGGGCTACATCTTCGCAGCCAACATCATCCTGCGAACTCTGGTGGAGGGCGACAATGCCACTGCCCCTGGCTTCGCCCCCTACCTACTGATACTGGACGACTCAGGCGAGCCGGTGTTCCATCGGCGGCTGGAGCGGCAGGACCACCCGCAGCGAATCGGCCATGCGGACTTCACTGTGCAGCAGCGGACGGGGCACCTCACTTACTTCGACGAGCGGCGGCTGCTGTATGTGGAGCTTGACAAATCGTACACGGAGGTCAAGACACACCGACCTGGCCATGGGTGGGGAGGGGTGGGTGAGTGAGTGGGAGTGGCTGCTGGCCTGGCTGCCCTGCCCTCAGACACGCATCGCATACACACACGGGCCGGGCCCTGTCTGCTCTGTCTGCTTGCCTTGGCTGTGTGGTGTGCAGGTACGAAGCAGAGCTGCACGGCATCCACTTGCGCGAGGACGGGCATGTGCTGCTGATGGCCTACGACATCCAGCCAGTGGACCTGCAGCCACACGAGGCCGCCATGAAAGAACACGGCCTGCCGCTGGAGGAGCTTCCCAGCATATGGGGCGAATCGACCACCAAGACGCTCGCCGGGGCCATCGTGCAGGAGCTCGACGCAGAGGGGAACGTGGTCTACGAGTGGCGGTCGTGGGACGGGATCAAGCTGCCCGATGCACTCTTCCACACGCGGAACACATACACCATTGCCGCACAGCAATTCCCCTTCTGGGACCTTGTGAGTGAGAACTGGATGAGGATAGGGGTATTTTGGGCTTCGATCGTGTGTGTACTGTATCCTCCCTTCGTCCCTCTGTGAATGTGTGGTCGGTTCGGTCAGGCGCACGTCAACTCAGTGGATTGGTCCAGCGACGGGCACATCATCATGTCGCTGCGGATGCTGGGCGTCGTCAAGGTGTCGCGAGACACAGGGACCATCCTGTGGCGCCTGGGAGGCAAGGAGGGGTTCAACGACTTCATTTTCATCAACCAATCGCGGCCCTTTTCATTCCAACACGATGTCCGGCTCTTGACCCAAGACAATGGCACTCTGCTGCTGACGATGTATGACAACGGTCCGCGTGACGTTCCCGAGTACTCACGAGCCGTCAGCTACCGCGTTGACGAGGCCGCCATGACAGCCACACAGGTGTGGGAGTACCGGCACTCGCCGGACTTATACACGTGGGCGACGGGCAGCTCCCAGCTGCTGGACAACGGCAACTACGCGATAGACTGGGGCGGTATCGGGAAGCCGCTGATGCCCTTCTACACCGAGATCGACCCCCAGACCAGCAGCAAGGTGCTGGAGATGCAGTTTGTGCACGGCTCGTCCTATCGAGCCACGCGGCATCGGTGGCAAGGGGAGCCGGCCGAGCCGCCCACACTAATGGTGGCCAACCAAGACAATGGTAGTGGCCATGGCAGCACCGCTGTGGCAACCAGCCCGTCGCTGCACTTCAGCTGGTGAGTGAGCGTGGGCAGTGAGTGCGGTACGACAGACACGATAGATACATTCAATGAGTGAGTGCACTGACTGACTCCAATGAACGCGTCTATCTCTGTGTGTGTGTCTTTGATGTCTGTCGATAGGAACGGTGCCACGGGTGTGGTGGGGTGGGAGGTGCTGGTGGGCGAGCGTGAGGGCGCCCCCATGACGGTGACGCGGCAAGTGGAGAAAAAGCATTTTGAGGACGGTGTGTCGACGAGTGAGTTGGTCGATTTGGTCGAGGCCGTCAGGAACAGCGTGGAGGAGAGCGAGGGCAGTGCTGCAGAGTGCTGTGTGTGGCAAGTGGTGCCCCTGATGGCCGACGGCACCAAAGGCAAACCGTCCAACACCGTGACAATTCGCTCAACATGACTGTAGATGTACTTAATTGCTCTCTGTGAGTGAGTGTGTGTGTCTGCATGCGGTGCGGTGCGTGAGAGTGTGCGTGGTGTGGTGTGGTGGATGCGACTATTTATTGGTGAGTGAGTACTTGGCGTTCGTTTGCCACCCGACCCGATGCTGCCTGCTTCTACGTTTTATATGAACCGGTTCGTTTGACTGACTGCGATGGACCACACGTCCGTGGATGTTTGGACACAACATCCACCCACCTCAGCGAGTAGTGGTTCATTCATGTCACGAAGCATGGCCTACGTACGACATGATTGGTCTCTGACAGTGCTTTGCTTGCTGCACATGTCTCTCTTAGTCAACCACACACCGATCTATCGATAGCGCCCCTGCAGGCTCCACAACTGCACCGTGCCATCATCAGAGCTATCTGACTCCCCATAGCCTCCTCTGCTCACGTCATGGCGACCCACCAGCTGTGCGTGGTGTGGTGTGGTGTGGTGTGGTGGATGCGATGCGACTATCTTTTTGTGAGAACTTACTCGGCGTTTGCCACCCGACGCTGCCTGCTTTCAGTTATGTGACCTCTGTCTGTTTGTCTCTCTGCTGTCATGTCAATCAGCCAGCTATCGTATCACCCAGTCAGTCAACACACACAGAGTACACACCACCCCACACCCTCCATGCAGTCAGTGTGTGTGTGTGTGTGTGCGTGCCAATGACACACACACACGGCTGGGCTGCTGAATGAATGGCCGATGACTGACATGAATGCACTGACTGTTTGGAATGAATGGGCCATGAGCGCACGCAATCATAAAGGCAGGCAGGCAGGCATGGACACACACACGCACACACACACACACGCGCGCGCGCAGAGAGAGAGAGAGAGAGCCATGCGCAGTGCACGCCCCCTCCCTCCCTCCCTCCCTCCCTCTCTGCACACCAGCCCACCCCTGTGCACATCCGTGTGTGGGAAGGTGCCTGCCTGCTGTGCACTCCTGCACAACAGCATTCACGAAATTCGCAAACCCTACGCATAACTAGGGTTTAGCTGAACACGTCAGCCGCCGCCCCGCTCCCCTGCAATGGGAAAAAGCCCTCAAAATCAGAGAGTGTTTACACGCTAACGGCGCATGCTCTCTCCGAAATCACAAGAGCACCAGAGAGGCTCACACAGAGAGAGGCCACACACGAAGCGAGAAGCAGCCAGAAGGCTTCCCACATGACATCTCTCTCTGTTTGTGCGCTTGTCTGCTCAGGAAAAGGATGAAGGACGTCAACGGATCGGCCATGCCGTCAAGGGCCTTTAGCAGACCTTTTCTGCCCTCTTGATGAAGGTGCGATTGCGATGAAGACCGACCTATATGGTCTTTACTTCACCGATGCTGACGCGATACCTTTCGAGCAACTTCGGATTCGCCTCATGACCCACACACACAACCTCATTCCAAATGCTTGGTAAGGCCTGATAGCCCATAGTCACATTATCTTGCACACACGCCCTCAGCTTCTCCCCTGCACCTTCTCTCTGTAGGCGTCTTTGTCACTCAGACAGACTGCGGCCCCCAGTCCCCATGCAGCTAGGTCTCGAGAGGTGCTGGCAGCTTCGTCAAGGAGATCGTGCTCGACACATGAATGGGTGCCGCGCGGCAAGTCCATCG